ATTGAACTGGATTTGTGGGCCCTGGGGTTTAAATGAGGGGAACGTCAAACTTTGAGTGGCTTAGATAGTGTCCTCTCCATCAGGCCAGTGATTTGGAGCCCTCGCAGATGCCCTTTTGCTGTACCTCCACCCAGGAGCTGGAGGCATCGTCCCAGGCCCCCCGGCTGTTGCCCTTGAGGTTTACACAGCTGCCGTGGGGAGTGGGGGGGAGTGAGGGGTGGGGGGCACAGGCTTGCAAGTGCCTTGGTCCCGCAGCGAGGTCAGAGGTGGACGCGTTTGGGCTAAAAGAGGAACAGGTGGGTAAAGGGCCGACAGCAGGAACACTGACACTTTTATTTTTAATGGCCCTCCCCCCTGTACACGCACGTACGGCGCTGGAAAACGCATGACACGACTGTATGAAATGCATCTGACTGGACTGGGTGAGCCCCCTCCCTGGAATATAAGGGGATTCTCTTGCTTTTGGGGGTTGAATATTCATTCAATTTGCGTTTTAGCCTATGTAAAGGTCTAAATAAAAACATTAAAGCATGCACTTAAGCAAGCAGGCTGTGATCAAGGCTTTCTTCCTCATCCCACCTGTGCATTTTTGTCCTCTCTTTTTCTATTTTTTGCTTCGTTGTTGGGTTGATGGGTCTGTGCAGCAGTAGGCAGAAGGATATCTTGATTAGAGCTGTGTGAGTAACCAATTATTCAGATCTCTGGCAGTACAGAAAAGCTGGGAGGAAAAATCTTGCTGTGTTTTAACAGGAGGGTTTTTTTTTTAAAAAAAAAGATTGGGTAGGAAATGGTTTCTTGCTGATTTCAGTCAGTTTATGAAGATCCTGTGAACATAAGGCGAAAACCAGAAGCAAATGTAAAAGAAGTTGTTTTCAGTGGGAAAGCAAATTAAGAATCATAGCAGTAATAATACCAGGTGTGGTGGGCAATGACCAACCCATCAGGGGGTCAGAAGTGAACCCTGAAACATCACTGACACCTTCATTTAAGAGAAAAGCAATATGCAGTTACCACATCTGTCTCATAGTTGTACCAATGGTCAGGATACTTCTGTCAACAGTCAAAGCATTTTTTTCTTTAGTGTCTTATCCACATAGGTGTGTTATTGTCCCAGTATGGTGGGACTAAATCTTTTTTGTTGTGTGGACAAGCACCTGAAATACTTGAGAAAAAGGCTTTTCTCTTGCTGGATAGAGTGTAAAACTGTTTTCTTGCAGTGTAACTGCTGTAGTTGAGCTAATGTGAGGGCTCTGTGGCTTCCAGCAACCAGAGGTAGCTGAGAGCGGTGGAAATACTGTTCCTACCTGCTGGCATTAGGACAGACAATTAGTGTATCCATAAAAGCCAAGGTTAATTAAGCCTATGGTGAAACCCATTATTTGACCTTGGTGATACAGAGCAGAATTAAGGTTATTTAGGTACTTGAATTGTTTTTTCATAGTCTAACAAATTTGTTGTTCATCTATGCAACTTCCATGAGTTTGTGGTTTTTATTCCTGAGAAGCATCTAATTGACTGGTACACAAACATACGTCCACATCAGTAGGGGTAAATCTGGGAGCATGTTGTGTTTCATGTTGGATTAATAGATTTAGGACTAGGAGAGAGCATTAATGCTCTGCTCAAATCCGCTGTGTGATGACAGGCTGTGGAGTTTCATGCGAGGTGAGTGAGTGAGACCAAATCCCACTTCGAAGATTTGATGACAGTAAAAGATCTCATTTTCTATTAGGTGGCTGGCTTTACACATTTTCCTGTACAACTGAGATAATTGTAAATTGTTCTTTTTTTTTTTTTTTTTTAATCAGGGCTGTGACACATCTTACATAGAAACCAATTTGTGATGATGATAATAATAATAACAATAATAACAACAACAATTAACAATTAATAATAATAATAATAATAATAATAATAATAATAATAATAATAATAATAATAGGAAAAGTGTCACTTGGTTCCAGCCCTGAGGAATACAGTGGCAAGCTATCCCCTCGCCTGGAGGTGAAGCAAAGCCCGGGAGCAGCCTGCTGCAGGCTCTTTTCTTTCATGTGACTAATACACACAAATCCCCAGTCCCTGGGGCCTCGAGGATCACTGACAGCAGTGTTAGGCTGTGAGAAAGGGGTGAAGGGAACGAAACTGTGCTCTCCTTTCATTCACCAGGGTCAGCTGTCCCACCTGTTTCCCCTGCTTAGACATGGGTAGCAGGGACAGAGGGGATGGGGCAGTGTCAGCCTTTAAAATGAACTCATCAAACAGAAGGAATTTCATATTAAAATGAGAAAAAAACAGGCATTCAACTTGTCACAAGGGTAGGGGCGGGCAGAAGAAAAGAGACTGCTGGACACAGCATCGGGGTTGGTATTTGCCTGAATCACTCCTCTGAGAATTGGGGACCAGGCCAAGAACAAGTTTCCTAATGAAAGACTAATGATGGATGAAGCTCAGTAGGTGCAGGGTTGCAGTTTGATTCGGAAACCCAATCTGCTACCAGCTGTTTATTTAAGCAAATGCCATGGCTTCAGTCTGCAGTAGTGCCTGCCTAGACTTCTCTGGGAGATTTCTTCCATCAAAGTGGCCCCTCTGGATTTTAAGCGGCGATGCTGCCCCTGAGGTCTGCAGCCCAACCTGTACAGTTCTCTTGTGGGGATGTTATCACAGAATTTGCAGAGTCTGTAGCATGCACTTTTCCCACAGTCATGTGGGATTGTATTTCTCTGCCCCTATTTAGATTGAAAGCTTTTTTAGGCTAGACACTATCTGGTATTGTGTGGCTACAGAACACCCAACACAATGGAGCTGTAGGCTTTCTTGGATACTATTGTTAACATGTTAAAAAGCCCGGTAACACAGAGACTGAAGGAGTGATGGTCCATCACTCTGAAACAGAGCCCTGCTTGATGGGCAGTGTGAATGAGATGGTGTCTATGAGCAGCCCAGCAAAGGAAAATCTCTGGGAAGACCTCAATACCAGGATGTTTTTTCACAGTACAGATGAAGCTAGTGCTTTATTTGAAATTGCATTTCTTTTCCCTTGTGGTTGCATTTTTTATTTAGGAGGATTTCTATGCCAGGATGGCTCTAGGAGCCAGCCCCTGACCTTTGTTTTCCTTGGCCGTGCAGTGTGTTTTGCAGATCTCACAGGAGCAGGGGAGCATCCTCTACATGTTGGTGAGAAGACCAAAGTAGCAGCAGGCAAATCCCCTGCAAGGTGCTGGTTTCTCCTTTCCTGGTTGCCCTGTGCATCCCCAGGCTCCAGCATCTGCCACAGGCAGGCGGCCGGGTGACTTGCATCCCCTCCGACCACAGGGGATGTGAGCCGAAACACACTCAGCCTTGGAAACAAAGAAGCCTCAAACCTGTCATTAAAGCAGCTGCACTGGCAATAAATTTAGTATTTAGAGAAGTTCATTGCCTGTTTAAAATGTGGTGAGAGTAGCTATGGGAACAACTTCAACAGAGCTTTATCATGCTGAAAGTGACCCTTCAAAGACATGCAGAAAGGCTCCTGGAAGCACCAATATTTTTACTTTCAAAGGAGAGAGTTGAGCCTGTCACAAATCAGCAAGTCAGGCAGCTCAGTTATGGGATATAAGTAGTGGTAATAAAAAGTTTTAACAATTAAAAAAGTTAATAATATGAATGTTAGGATTTTCAGGAAACAAAACTTTTTTTAGTGCAAAGGAACGGGAATAAAGGGAAATTTGAAGGTATTGGTACTGCCTGATAAATACAAAGGTTGCTTTTTGCCTTTCAAATTCCTAGTTAAATTTCAATCCATTTTGTAGATTTATTATCTTCCCTAGATCAGCTTACTCAATATTCATGTTAATATTGTCTGCTTTCATCATGTAAATCATGGCAGGCAAAGCAGCAGCTCAGCTGGGGAGATTATGTCTTGGTGCCTAAAACACTGGAGTAAAGATAAGGAGATCTGAGTGCCATTCCTGACCTACCAGGGACTCTTTCTCCTCCTGATTTGGAAAATATTCATGAACTAGCTGTATTGGCTTTCTCATACTCGGATTTCTGTGCTAAGGTGTTTAATGAGGAATTGAATGTGGCAAAACCAGACACCACTTCTGAAATCCCTCTGCTCATCCCTGGTTGAATATTCTTCTTGCCTTACCTGTGAGCATCCAGACATAAGTGATGCATGACTTAAGTACACAGAAAGTCAGATGGAAAGAAGGGACTTTTCTGTGTTATTTTACAATACACGATGCACATAAGATCTCAAGCCAGCTTATCTGAACCCCACTCCTGTGGCTAGGACTGTGATGGAAAATGCATGTTTCTCGCCACGGTGGACAGCTCATTCTGTTCCATCAAACCCAGGACTGAACACAGTGGCTTGGCGAGGGCAGAGATTTAAGGCTGTGATGCTGGTCCCATTTAGAGGATGCTCAGGGGTGCAGAATGTGGGGAGGCAGTAGGTGCAGTCCACCCTACGTGGTGGGACTTGATAGCAGTGAGAGGTATTTACCAGGTCTATGGAGACCATTGGATCCTGATGACAACTAAAGAAACTCAACCCCTGTGGACCCCCCGGGGGACAACTTCCAGCATGGCTGATAGATGGCAGCTCCCTGCTTAGCATTACTGTGCTGTCTCAACTCACCTTCCCATGGGTAACTTCAACCATCTGGATGATGAGGGCAAGAAGGAGGAAGGCTGGGAAATTAAATCAGAGTGGGGTTTCCAAATCCCTTAGGTTCCCTTGGAAATCCCAGCTCAGCACCCTGCCTGCTGGTGTCTAACGAGCCTCTAAAGAAAAAAGACATCAAACCCCAGGATTTATTATTAATCAGTTCAGCTTCTTAACACCTTCTCTTGTGACCTTGGTTGCTAGGAAGTTTGTGTCAATACACTAAAAGTGAAATATTAATAGAAAGAAAGAGCAGCTGTAAGAGCTCTGTATGGAGTGGCATGGCCAGTGCAGGGGCTGCCCTTGCAGGACACGTTAGCCTGTCAAGTCTTCCAGGCTATATGTCTACTAGCAAGCCAAACTTGCAGAGCCCCTTTGCTGCTTCTGGAGCCATGTCCATGCTGTTAAACTCAAAAACAGCCTCAAAAACTTGGTCACTGTGTCCATAGTGCTCACTGGGAGCGGGCGCCAGCCGTGTAGACTCCTGAACCATGACTGAGAATTGTTTGGGCTAACGTGATCTGGTCTGGGTCAAAACGATGCAGGGGATCATGTTTGCAATTTGTGATCTGTGGAGATGCAATGCCCAAGCCCTTGATGCTTTTATTTCATTTACAGATGTAATCACAAATTTTGACACACAGGTCGGCCTGTGGGCAGTGCTGAAAATCTTCTTCAGGGGTTTTCCAAGCCTAGGAACTTTTCTCAGTGTTTAAAGAAGTCCTGATTTGATTTTGGCAGGAGGCTGATGGTGTGAGTGGATAACCCATCTCCTCTTGGGCACACATAGTTCGGAGGTTGCTTGGGGAGATGACAAAAGCAATATGTAAAGGCTGGAAGAAGATACTAACTACTGACAGTGCCAACCTGGAAAGCGCAGATCTTTCTCCAAGACCTGTGTCTGGACTGAGTGCTTAATTTCAAGCAGTTTCATGTTGTTTTTCCCCACTGTGTGTCCAGCATGGCATGCCTTGTGTTGGAGGGGAGGCTGCTTAACAACAGCCGTGTCCAAGAGAAGCGCAATGCTGCTGATCCAAACATGAACCCCATTAGGCTTGCTTTCCTCTGGGGTGTTTTATGCTCTATTTAAAGGTGTGGCTGCAGGAATTGTGAGCGCAGGCAGCATTCCCACATCGTTCCCTCGTGATGATGTCTGAGTTTGGTGAGGAGCAGGCAGGAAAGGCCAGTGCCCTCAGTGTGGGGTGGTGCATGCACCAGCAAGGCTTGGGAGGGAGGAGGGGAGCTCCCGAGCAGTTGCAGACAAAATTGCTAAACCTCGCCTTATCCCACATTATCCTCCCCTCAGCTGTTCAGCTGGGAGATGCCATGTGGCGTTCAACAACTGCCGCGTTCCTCTCGCGAGGTGGCCGCCGTGTGACGGCTGGGGGGGAGCGCGAGGGGAGCCCTCGCTTGGCTCCTGCAAAGCTCTTCCACCCCAAGAAATGCTGCAAGCTCTGGGGAAACTTAATGTCTCCCACGCTGCTACCCTTTCAGAGCACCTGCCCTTCAAAAGGCTTCATGGGCAGCGCGCTGCCGTCCCCGTTTTACACGCAGATAACTTGAAGATGAAGCTGTTCGGCCTAAATCATGTGTTAGTGAGTGAAGGGGCTGGGAAGAGGTCCCACATCTCCCTTCCTCTGCTCTGCCTGCTTGATCGTGGCCTTTCCCTCAAACGCAGGGGGTTAACAGAAACCAGTCCTGGACCTGTGTCAGACAGAGGAGTGACAGCTTGGCTGGCCTTCACTCGAATTTCAAGTGGTAGGCAAGTCTTCAACGGCTCCATACTTCCACCTAGTGACAAAGAGCTACTGCTCACACCTCCTGCTTTTCTCTGTGTCTGTTCTGGTTGCAGTGCAGGAATGTGTCTCAGATTCCCGATGCTGAGCCTGTTGGTAAGGCTATTTCTACTCATATGCCTACAATCTGCAAGCTCCAAATGAATAACAAAACCAGATGGCCTGGGGTGATGTTTTTGAGCAGAACTTTCCTTCATCAGGAAGAAAATCGCCTGCACATGTATACAAACATGCACTTATTTATAAAACTGTACTGCTTTCCTCTTTGGTGAGTAAGCATACCTAAACATGGTCACCAGCTTGTAGTGGGAGAGTATTTACACTTCATATAGAAAGACTCTTGTGTGACCTGATCATTCATCTCCTGATCTGCATTACAGGCTTGTGTTTCTGGTGATTAATGACAATATTCTTCACCAGCTTCCCTCTTTCTTTCCACATTTCATCTCCTTCAGGAGGATGGTTCCCTACACAATGTCTTACCTAAACTGTGACTTTTTGCAAAGAATAAACTCCTCGTCCCTGTCAAATCCTTTGCATCTGCAAACATAGGACATTTTGTTGAGAATTTCCTATATAAATAACTTCCTTAGGACTGAATCACAAAATATTGTACAAAATGACAGATAACTCATTTTTTTTTGCTCGTTATGATCTAGAGTGTTTGAGTGAGCGAGTGAGTAGGTCAGGAGCAGAAATGTCTGGGCCTTGAGGACAGCAGTAAGCCTTAATGGCCCTGATCAACCTCACCTGGATCCCCCAACCACACCCTGCCCATGGGTCAGGAGTTTTATTTAACATCAGGTTTGAAGCTCTAGTCTCTCCCTGTGTTATATTGCAGGAGTACTAGTCTTCAATCCCATCCTTAGTCTTGCTTTCTAGCTGGGTCATGGGCCTATGTTGTAGCAGAGCATCCATCCCTGTTTCATCTTATTCTTGAGTGGTTTCCCTGGGCCTGGTCCATTTAGGGCTGTTAGTGGACCCAGTTATCATCATCTGTCTCTGCTGTGTTCAAGTTATCATCTTTGAACTGTCTTTTCTTTGGCAATACTTTTTTTTTTTTTTTTTTTTGAACATTCTTTCGAGTCTGTTCTTCCTTTTGACCATGTTTCCAGTGTAATTCTGGCTAATAAGTAAATTGAGTGTAGACTATTGTGCAGGATAGGGTTAACTTTCATTGTGTTCCTGTAATCATTGGCTATATGTAGCTGAGACATTGAGGCTTGACCTAGGAATAAGACAAACACAACTGGTTCCACTTCTGGGCAGAGATCCAGAACTTCCCTGAAGTTTGATTGCCCATGACTTCGTGCTGCTGTGTCTCTGAATTGAGGCTGAGGAAGAACAAGCAAGCCCTTTTCACCTCCCCTTGGGACTGAGGTAAGAGCATGCATACATACTGCTGTTGTTTGGTGCATGGTAACTCATTAAACTGTAGTTATGCTGTGGTGTCTGAGAGCTTCCTCTGAATTTCAGTGGAAACTTCCATGAAGGTATCCATACCAGTGCAGGGTCTCAGCAACCCATCATGTTTCTGGTGACTCCATCAAAAAACATCTGGGTTTCAAATAGATCAGTACAGAGGTGGGAATAGGGGTGATGCTCACACAACTATCCAACACCTTATATAGGCTGAGTTGAGTTTTTTATGCAGCTGGTGAAGGCGTATGGTTCTCCATGGGGTGAATAATAACACTGTGTAAGGCTGCTCCACTCTTTTCCACCACTGACTGTATAAGGACCTGCAGAGCTGTAGGTACTTGAGATGTGGCAGTGGGTCTGAACCCCCTTTTGGCAGAATTCCTGCCAAATGGAGACACTGTTGGGAAAGCCAAAGAAAAATTGAATTAAGAGTATATAAGGAAACTTTGATGTCCACTTGTTGTGAAAGTCACTCCCAGATTAGATACCAGCATATTAAGAAATCATTCCATTGTTTTTTCTGTCGTGTTGTGGGGGGAAGAAGAGCATAAAATGGATTAATTGTCTTCCTATTGGAGGATCTAGCCATATACCAATGGAAGAAAAATTCCAGGTTACTCCCTCGTGGTCATTGAAGACTTGGAACAAAACAGTTAATAGCAGCAAGTAGCTTAGGTTAATAATTAAGCATGCCCAATGGATAGCTCTGAGCTCTGTGGCATGAATTGAGACTTTTGAGAAACTAGTCCAGTGGGTTTCAGCACAAGTGCGACCCAGTTACTCACAGAGGGACTGACCTGAGTGCTAAACACAACCTCAGACAGAAAATTGCAGTAAATCTGGCATCGAAGGGATGGCGCAGTAATGCTGGTGTCAGAGCCTCTGAACTTTATTCATCAGAGGACTAGAAGAAGAAAAAAATTGAATAAGGTAAGTAATACCAGAAAAAGTCCTAATAAGAATATTAAAAGTAAGTCTAAATGATCTTTTATGCACCTGCTTTGAAATGCAAGGTTCATATGCATCAGAGCTCTGGACTCTGATCCCTACAAATTGTAGTTATGTTAAAAAATGCAAGAAATATAGGGAGAGTAGTTACAGTAGGTCTTGTGGTATAATAAGCAATAGAAGCTTAGAAGTTGGCTTTATGGGGACAGCATGTTTGCCACAGCTATGGGATAACTAAAGCTTCTGCCCAACTCTCACCTCTAAGAGTGTCACTCTTCTGTTGCATCCATTCTAGGGTGCCCACCCACACTTCTTCCACTGTGCAGCACTGTGTTCTAATCAGTGTTCTAGAACGTTTTGTGCCTATAGGCTGCCATAGATCATTTCTCCTCATGTGTTAGTCCTTTTAAAAATGACTTAAAGCATTAGGTATTCTGAGGCACTGTAGCAGTAGTAAAGAACAAGCCTTTTTTTTTTTTTCTTTTTTTCTTCCCCCCCCCCCCCCCCTTTAATGTAGCTGTTAAGCATCTCAATTGAGTTCATATTGATGGGTCTTATGGACATTTACAGAAGCCAGCAGACAGTGCTATGGACAGTTGTTTAGGCTTTCCCAGGTGGCCTGACAGGCACTCATCATTGGAGAAGAGGGCTTGAATCAGTGCAGTGTATATATTGAACACAGCAAGACCACCACATGGAAGAACACATGAGCTTTTGGTACCATTGTCCTGTGGAGGAACTGGACCTTAAGAGAGTTGAGGTCTATTCTTGACCTTTTTTCAATGTCTTTGCATCATTTTGCTCTTCTGTGTGGGGGACATGGATTCTCCCTTTAGGAATTACTCATTATACTGTGCCTCATACAGTGATTTGTGAATTTTGCCCTTCAGGTCCTACCATAACAACAATCTAAAATCATCACCTTGCCATATGATTTTATCTCTGGGGCTTTTGTGGTCTGAACTGAGGTTTAACAACCAAGAAATCTTCTGGATAAGGGGAACAGTCCCCCATGAAAAGCAGGTGTCCCAGTCTCTGTGCTCACTGGTGAGAATTTGAGGTTGTTCATTAAAAAATGTGGTTAAATTAATTGAACCATGGTTATTTCTGTACTAGTACACCCAGGGTGAAGGCAGTAGAAGTTGATGGTCTATATTTTAGAATATGAGAAAAATTCCTGTCATGGAGTTTATAAAAAGAATGTGTGATATGTCTGGCTATGATAGCAAGTAAGACCAAGGAACTTCTCAGTCTACAAGGACTCTAATATTTATTTTCATAAATTATTAGAATAGTTCACAGCTGTTGTGATCAAGCCTACCAGTGC